GAACGGAACGGAACGGAACGGAACGGAACGGAACGGAACGGAACGGAACGGAACGGAACGGAACGGAACGGAACGGAACGGAACGGAACGGAACGGAACGGAACGGAACGGAACGGAACGGAACGGAACGGAACGGAACGGAACGGAACGGAACGGAACGGAACGGAACGGAACGGAACGGAACGGAACGGAACGGAACGGAACGGAACGGAACGGAACGGAACGGAACGGAACGGAACGGAACGGAACGGAACGGAACGGAACGGAACGGAACGGAACGGAACGGAACGGAACGGAACGGAACGGAACGGAACGGAACGGAACGGAACGGAACGGAACGGAACGGAACGGAACGGAACGGAACGGAACGGAACGGAACGGAACGGAACGGAACGGAACGGAACGGAACGGAACGGAACGGAACGGAACGGAACGGAACGGAACGGAACGGAACGGAACGGAACGGAACGGAACGGAACGGAACGGAACGGAACGGAACGGAACGGAACGGAACGGAACGGAACGGAACGGAACGGAACGGAACGGAACGGAACGGAACGGAACGGAACGGAACGGAACGGAACGGAACGGAACGGAACGGAACGGAACGGAACGGAACGGAACGGAAAGGAAAGGAAAGGAAAGGAAAGGAAAGGGCACCCAGATAAAATTGTTTTAAAATGGAGTAAATTAATGTGATAGTGTGATGAAAGCCTTAGCTCTTGATGTGGAGCTTCATTCAGGGATTCTATACAGCCACTGTCTCCTTGGGCTTTTCAATTCAGTTGGCAGCTTTATTCTTTCAAATTGTCTATTTCAAATTCTGTAGCCAGAGAGTGCAACATGGACTATGCCAGTTGGATTTAAGGCCTGACAGGCATCCTCAGACAGTACTTCTCTTGGAAATATAAGTAAGGTTTTGATTTAAGTGGATGAGTGTTGCAAAGATCATACTTTAAACTGGTATGTTTGTGTCAAACTGGTATAAATATGTGTTGTATGTTTTCTCCCCTCTGTTTAAATAAGGCAGAGCTCCTATTTATTCTGTTTATATCTCACAACTTCAATGCACGTCCTCAAGATCACTCAGTTGGTATTCATGTGAAAGTCTAGAATGACCTAGAACGTCTTAATTTATGTTTACTATTGCCTTTAGAAAGACAAACCTTGAGGACCTTCCCTGTGAAGCTTCAGAGTGGCAAGTCACTACTCTCCTCGTGGTCTCTAAAGCCTGGGATTTCCTTCTCCGTAATGGATATCATGACTGTTTTCTGACCACTATAAAAAATATCCACTCTTAACTGTATCCTGATAGGTCTGCAGAATATCTCTCTAGTTTCTTCTCTTATTAGATGCTATATTAAATTATGACAGTTTAATTATGAAGCAAAGGTTATGCAGTCACCCTGTCTTATCCTTGTGTTAATCTTCCTGCCTGCTTCTCTGTCTGTCCATGCATCTCTAAGTTCCTTATTAATAGAAGAAAAGTTAATTGCTGTTCTCTGTGACTGGGACAGAAGAGACAAATTGATGCCAATCCTGAGGACAGGAAGAAGAGCGTTTGTACTGAACACATTCAACTAACATCTGACTTAATACAGCACTTTCATCCCTTCTTCAGGCTGGAGATCAGCGTAGGTTACATGGTGTGAGTTCAAGTGTCATATAGGAAATGTTAGGAAGAAAAACAAATTTACAGAAGTCTAGGCTTCACCACTGTGCTGTGGCTACTGGTTTGCAATGTGGTGTATAATCTTTGGTCTGCTAAAGAAAATTTGGCTTGCTTTTATGTAACAGTCATTCATCTCATGTGGGCTGGCGCATGTATTAGAAGTGTTCTTTGGTGTGGAGAATTGATCTTTCTAAATTTTGTGGCTATGTGAAAAATATTCTGTTTTCAAACCTGTATTTCCTTTGAAAAGTGAAGATGTGAACAAGTATTCCAGGCATTATAGTTAAGAGAGTCTAACACTGATGTAAACAATTGTTTCTAACTTTAAACGCTAATACCTCTGTCTATATTTAGAAGCTTGTGACATATTGCAGTATTTACACTCCCTCTTGCTGCTTCTGTATACAGATGTGTGGCACTATCCTGTCTAGAATCCAGAAAGAATGACCCATCAGCTTCCATGTCATCTAGAGACAGCAGGGCACTCATACATTGCAGTGTTTATTACACTGTAGTACACTGTGTATCAATTGCATTTTGAATCATATGTTCTTCCTGTCCTATACAAAAATTACCACAGCTTCTTTGGACACGTCTGGTCCATTTTTGACCACTCCACCTTGTCCAGATTTTCTGACCCAAAGTGGATCAAAGATTGCTCACCATCTTTTATAATTTTTACAATTACATTGCAGTTCAAGAGGTCTGGTGAGGGCTAAATTATTTTCTGAAAGCTGTGGATATCTGTGCTTTCAGTATCAAATTCACCAAAATAATTATAATATCTGAAATTGTTGCTCTTGACACAAGGGAGATTTGAAAAGTGAAAATTAAGTCCTGGCTTGATTTCAGTACCTTAAATTACTACTTAATCATTCCTCTGCTACAGAATAGCAAGCTATAGTATGATATCAGTGTTCTTCAGTGAAATGCAGTCCGGAAACAACTCAAGTAGAATCAAGTTTGAAAATGAGAAAAGTGGGATCATGTTATTTTACATAAAATCAAAAAATGATCCTGCAGGGCAGAAAGCCAAGAAGATGTAGCTGTTGCCTTTTATGAGTGCCTCAGCATCCAAGAAGTGGGAAACAGGCTAAATGGGAAGAACAGGAAGTACCATTTACAATAAAGAATCCCACAAGAGATTTTGAGGAGGACAATCTTATTTTCATATTTTTTTGCCAGTCTGAACTAAACTGTTAGTGTGTATGTTTCAGGAGCTATCTGGTATTCTGAGGTACTGGTGAATGTTTTGTGCATTCACATCATGTATTGGGCATTCAGAGTGTTTGCCACTGACAGATTCTAGAAAGAGCTGTCTCCATGTCTCCACTGTCTTATTTAAAGGTAGAAACAACTAAATATTTTTGTTCTTTGTCCAGTGCTGCTGCTACCTGTAAACACTTTCATCTTCAGAACTCTGCCCTTTCATAATTTCCAAATGTGCAAATTAGACTAGATCACTAAAAGAATAGTTTTATGTTTTGAGCTGGGCCCCCTTTAAGTGTTAAAACAAGCTAAAAATGGAGTAGCTCTATGCAAATAATAAAAAGATCCTTTATAAAAGATAAGAAATTAAAGGACTACTGAGAAACATTTAAGCCAGCTGTCACATATCAGATAATGCCATTTCATAGAACTCAAAGACAAAGAGCATAATTTTCCTGGAATTGAAGTAGCATAGTCACACTCTCTTTCAGTGGAGAACAGGATTTAAATAAAAAGAAAAAAAAGGCATTTGGCTTATCTTCTGCTAAAGCCTTTGTGTAATTCATTAAGCAACCCTTATCTAAAATTATAGTGTAGCACATTTGCCTATGTTTTCCTGACTCAATGAAAACATAAAGAGGTACTAAACCCAGATGGTCGTTAACTCTCCTGTTAATGCTCTGGGCTGATTCATGTTGCCTATTATACCTGATTGGATTTGGCTTCCCTGGGCAATTAAAGCCTCTGAGTTCCTCCCATGGAGGACATGTTTCTTTTCGTTTGTTCTAAGAGTCAGGCTCATACGATTTTTATTCAGTCTGGACCTGTGGTTTCACCTGAAGCAACATTCTGTTCCAACCATTCCTGCAAAGACTGTGCTCAAAGTGCAGATTTCTTCCACAGGGTGTTTAAAAATCCATTTTTTTATTACAAAAGGAATAAAAGAGATGATAATAAAAATAGTTACACAGTTATTAAACATCCTGATGATCTTGAATATTGGGGAGTTTTATTTCATCTTTACAGACTGATTGTACAATGGTACAGATTTCACATACTGCTTTTTAATTAGGTTTTTCCAATATCTGCAAACCATTGCTGTCTTGTGGACAGTATATAGATTATAAGAATAATGTTGTAGCAAGTGAAACACAAGTTACATTTCTCCATTTATCAGCCTTTTTCTAATTAGATTTTCATGGACTTGAAATCCAATGTTCAAAACTCATATTTTATGCTTAAACTTAAATAACATTAAAATAGCACCAAATCAATGGTAGTATCTGTTAGAAGTTGCAACTTGTAACTTATCATGATAAATCCACTGCAGGGAACTACAAGAAAATTAAAAACATACTGTATTTTTGTCTTTGGAAAATTTCTTTTCACCTTGGCTGCTGCCTTATACTGTATAGGATAACTAAAACCACCAAATTTTCCCTGTCCCTATGTTTCAACTTTATATCCTCAATGCTAGAGATGCAACTTTTATGCACTTCCGTCTATTTGTGTTTACAGGACTGTAGTTTTGACAATCATTTCAGCTAGCATGTGGAAGAGAAGGACTCTATTTCTCCTCTTGCCTTTTGCCTTACACTGTGTCATCCTGGGACCTTGTCCCTGCATCCACCCCATGGAGGTGAAGTTGCCACCGTGACAGCACACCCTTGGTCACAGACCTCATAACTGCAGAAGTCTCAGTCAGTTTGGAAGTTTTAGTAGGTTTTTATTATCTGTGATCATAAAAATCTGTGCTGCCCAGCTGTCCACCTGGTCTGTCCTCACAGGCCTGGTGACAACCCTCAGTGGAGTCACTTTTGGAACTTTTCACTTCCACCCTTTGAGATGATATGTCTGTAGATTAATCCTGGCTGGTCAGTCACCTTCCCAACCCACGGCACAGAAAGTGGCTGGTCTGTCAACCTTCCCATAGACTTGCCAGGCAAAAACTAAGTTGATATTTGCTTTTCAAAAAAAATGTGTGGAGCAATAATAAAGTGTAATTGCAGAAGAATAAAACTGAAGTTACCTATACTGCATTGTAAAACCTGATTTTCTTTCTGTTAAAGCAGCTAATTTTTGGTGATACCTTACTGACAGCTCTGCTCATTTTTTTCAGACATGGAGATGACTTGATTGTGACACCATTTGCTCAGGTAAGCACAGCTTTTCCATATTTCTCACATGGTCTTGTAATTCAAAGATAAATTGGTCAAACCAGTTGTTTTCTATATTATATTATTATGCTTGTTTTCCATATGATATGATATATGTTTGCATGAAACAAGTGTTTCAACAGAAAGTCACAAACCTCCCACTCTCTTTCTTAACTGTACCTCTCTTTCTTAACGTTTTTTGATTATCTGAAAAGTTGAAATGCAACAGCATGATAAACACCTTTGATCTCTTCCCAAATACTGTAGCAGGCAGTCGTGATTAAGACAAACCTCTAATTCCTGTTATTCTGATATTTTTCTAAATACAATTTCTCCATTTGAACATCTTTTATGCATTAACTACAATGAGATTTTAATACATGAGGTAATTTTTTCTCAGAACAGTTATGTTCCTTTCCAAAACCAAGTTTGTTTTTTCTACTCAGATTCTGGTTTATGAAATACCAGCTCAAAATTCTTCATAATTCAGATAAAAATGCCACAATTCTTCACAATAGAGCTGCCTTATCAAGTCTGAAAAGTTAACATTGCTATTTCTTGAACTCATTATGATGGGTTTTACTTCAAAACAGGAATTATAGTCAAATCACTGCAATTATGAAGTCATATGTGATTGAAGGTAAATGGAAAGAGAAAGGTTGAGTCACACAGCAGTCTCAAGTAAGAATAAAGTGGCAGCTTCAGCCATATTATGCAAGTTGCTTTGTTTGAAGAATAAACTGATAAATAATATTAATTTAATAGTTTATTATATATTTAATTATATTGCAAACAGGTGTGATGTTTATAAGACTCAATCAAGCCCTTAATATTAATAAAATCATAATCTTTTACTAGCAGAGAAAAGATTAAGCAAGGACCTTTTATAAAAGTACTCTGAAATCTCCACTGTACCCTGAACATGCAAATTTGATGACATATATATAATTTTTTTAATCTATGCTGAGTTAAAAATAAGTCAGTTTGCTTCCTAATTTTTGGAAAGAAAAATATAACAAAATGAATACTGTTCAGTTAGCCAAATGTACTTTTTATTATCTTAATTCATTTGGAAATTACCTGCAATAGCTTGAACACTGCCAATCATTGCTAGTTCTTACATACCTTCTGTTAAAAGCTTTCATTAATTTATTATTTTTTCTTCAATGTCCTATTCTCTTCCTACATCCTGTATACATTTAAGGTTCTATGAAAAGAAGGTTGTGCACTCCTCAGCTCAGATCTCTGAAACCAAATTTCCCATTGCTGCTTCTGTTATTCTTTAGATGGGTCCACCAGGAACCCAGCCCAGTCTGGGCTGAGGATAACAAAAAAAGGTCAATTTCTATAAAGACGTACCAGTGATTAGTGTTGCTGTTTTCTCCCATTTCCAATCAACTCATGGTTCCTCATCAGCTGAACTACCTCTCCCTGACAGAGGTTCATCTTATTATCCTCGCATGGCACAAAACTTTTTGCATGTTACCCAGCTGCCTATGCCACTTATAACAAGACACTTCTCTCCACTACATTCATTGCCTGTAATCTTGCAAGTAATTAAGTCCAGAAAGGAAGCAGTTCACCTATGTCATCTTCCCCAATGAGTAAAACTTGTAAGAGCCTGCAGACTTTTCCTGCATTCTCGAGGGATAACTTCCTCTTTCTCTGCTCTTCTGTACTAAGTTCCTGAATGAACTGTGTCTCTTAGAGGAGACACTTACTTTTTTACTTTTCCTTGAAGTCTCAACAATCTCATTCCCTTTGTCCTTTGGAGTTTATGGGGACTGAAATACAAATGAAGATTCTGTAATTGTTTCTTATGCATGAGGTATTAGGGTTGAATGGGCTATTATCTTCCAAACTCAAATCCTTTTATTGCTATTTTAAAGAAATAAGTAGAATTATGTAAAATCTTTCCTCCCCTGCAAGTCAGCCTGCCTTCAAACAGATGAGTTGTTTATGAGGGGAACAAAAAATAGAAATAAACTACTACCTTTGTATTACAGACATATTATTGTTAAATAATAGCCAAAGGTTCCAGACTAACCGTCCCCGGAAACCTTTTACAGTGGTTTTGCAACGTGCTTTCCATTTTCTTGCAGCACAGTGGAGCAAAGATAGATCAGTCTCACTTGTGCAGAAATTTATACTGAAACCACTTTTTTGTTTCAGGTTCTGGCCAGCCTGCGTACTGTCCGGAATAACTTTGCTGCATTAACCAATTTACAAGACCGGGCACCCAGCAAGTGAGTGTCATTTTTTGGCCACTGAAATTTTTGCAGTGATACTTTTTTAATGTAAGCTAAGAACACAAACAGATGTCACAGATTTCAGTTTGTGCCACCAAACCTGCATGAAACAATAAGTTGTTATCATTGGTAATTAAGACAACAGCCCCCTTGCCTTCTAATTGATCTTGACATTGTTGTCCTTGCATAAAAATGGAGTAGGTTTTTTCACCTTATATGATTTTAGATAAAGTAGTCATATGTCTAAGATCATTCAAAGATGATCATTCAGGCACAGTCTGAGCTTTGCAAATGAAATGGGGTAAGCAGACAGCTGCACTCACTGGCAGCATGATCTGAACCTAGACCTCTACTTCACTCAGCCAGGGTAGGGATACTCTACCTATCCTCAGTTAGTTCGTAACTATAAATTAGGCATTATAAATATGATCTTGCTCCAGTCATGTAACAGCATCACAATTAACACTAAGGTTTGTTACACTGGCAAATATAGTGAAGTTATTTCCCTCACCCAAAACATGCATCTCGACACCTAGAAGTAGTTAGCATTCCAAAGAAAAGAATGTCTTTGTATATGTTTGTAAGTCACATTTCAAACTATGTATAAGCTCTAGATGTGATTATGCAGGCTTTTAATAAAACTGTAAGTTCCTGAAATAAGCCTGTCCTGGAGTTCCCAAATAAATTCCCAGGTAATGTATTTTCTGTTATATTGTTCAAGGATACAGTCATCAGTGAATTTATAAGACTTAAACCTTTTCTCATTTCCTTTTTAATAGAAGATCACCAATGTGTAGCCAACCATCTATTAACAAAGCAACAATAACAGGTAAGAATAATTTATTTATGGAAAACATCTAACTGAAAAATGCATTTTATATTAAGAAACATATATTGCTTCACATCCTTATATCACTTCATATAGTTATATCAGTTTTATTACAGAGATTTTGAGTATTTGAGTCTTAGAGACTCAAATTGTTGACTTTTAGTGTTCTATCCTGCTGAATTCTGATTTCTATTTTATTGTTGCAGTTGGAATTTAAGTTATTTCTCATTTCTTTTTCCTTTTATACCGGTCTGTGACTATGTCATGAATATATTAATTAGTAACATTTTGCAAGGAAATCTAGTTGATAAAGCTGATATGAGGAATCCATTCAATTCATTCAATTCAGTTCCATTCAATTATATTCATGTTCCTTTTGGGACATAGAGTTCTCTAGCTATATAGACACAAAGTCCTTACTTTAAAAGTGCTTATGCTATGAGGAGAAATTTTTGAAACTGGATTTTCTGCTTTAGAATTGTAAATCCTATTTTTATAACATTTGTATGAGAAAAAAGAATCCTTTTAAAAGATAGTATTATTTCTAAGGAAACTTTGACTTAAAAACAAGACTAGCAGTGTAAATTACATTAATATTTTGGAAAATTTTACCCCACACTACTTTTGGTTAATTTGATGACAAATTGGTCTTGGATGTCTTTATGGAAATACACTTTATTGGCCCCCATATTTTTTTGCATCATGTCAATTCACAATTTACACTATGTAATTTTCCAGGTAGTTACTTTCTCTACCATGTTCTGTCAGAGTGAAAGAGCGTTTGCTTTTCTTCCTGATGAAAGTATACAGACACTTACTAAACAGGTGAATTATTATTTAAACCATAACCAGAAATGCAATTTTCAATAATTTTCAAAATGCCTTATCTTTTTAATTGAATTATACATTTGTATATCTAAGAAAAAGTGGTATGTAAGCACTTTTGAGGACCAGTGTGGCTTTTTAATATTCAATAGTTTCTGCATTTAGGCTCTGGAATGTCTTAAGGGTTTTTTCAGCTAACCTCTCACCTTAGAAGGACCCAGTCTTGGCAGTTCTGTACAGTTTTATTCTCATAAGAACTCATGCAATACAAACATTTGTGTGTAGGGCTCATCAGGGGACAGAAGGTTAGGTGTTTATATCTGTTTTATAAACAGAAAGGCATCATGTTTATTAAATAAGAGAAAGAAGATACAGCTATATATGTAGACCAATTATATTCACAATTTGTTAACATATTTCTTGAAGAGGTAATTTTGGGCACTGGTTTCAAATCCTCTCTATAAACCATTTCAGTTATGGATATTTTATCTATTTCTGATTTTGTGATTTGTCTCATAGCAGAGTAATCCAGAAATATGTTATCTGGAGATAGAGATACTCAAAAACAGGGCTCTTTAACTCCAAGGGTCTAACTTTAGAAAACCTATGACAAAGTGAAATTCATGACAATAAAAGTAAATAGGATATCCAGAAGAGAAGATGTGCATGCATGTGAGCGCTATCTTACATGATCTCCCACAGCTATTTGCCTGTCAAAGGTCAGCTTCTTTTCTCCAGCAGGAGAAGCTGTTCAGACAGCAGGACCCAAGACACTCTCTGTTGGAAGATGCTGTTGCTCTTTTTTAATTCTCCCTGATCTGAAGGTTTCCATTCAGTTAATTCTCAGAATGTACTCTACACATCAGGCATAAACCATCTGAAATTTTAAAGTTTAAAAGGAATGTGCTTCAGTCAGCTCTCCAATTAATCTAGAAAATTATTTGCCAATAAATTCAAAGGCAGCAAGAAAAGGCAAAGAATACTAAGGATAATTTAATCTAATTTAGTTTAGTCTGATTTCTCAGAGATGATGCTGGAATTGCTGTGCCCAAATTATGCATTGAATTGAATGATCTAGAGCCTGTGTGCACTGGATATAAGTGGTTGAAAGACTTTTATGATATAACAAAGATATTAAGCCACTATAAAGCATGAAAATGGCTACAATTAGTTTTGACTATTGAATGGAAATTGAGGCTGGATACTATTTTGCATGAAAGTGTTTTCCTGTTCTTATTCATAAGCTGTTTTTGATATTTCCATAGCAACAAATTTCATAGCATAGGTGCAGAAATATGCATAGGTTTTTTTTCTTGGGCCATATGGAATCCTATTAAATCTTTTAATATAAAACAATTAACAGCAGTATGTTAAGAAGAAAGATATATTAAAAACACTTTTGCTACACTTCACAGAATAATTGAAAACACTTTCAGATATTATATAGTTATTTAATTCTTGTGGGGAATGTTTAAAATTTAGCTTATACAGATCCTTCCTCCTGGTTTTGCTGTTCTCAGAATTTGTGTCATGGAGTATCCAGAACAATACAGCTAGGGTAGTGCCTCATTATGTCATCCAGATGTCTCAGCTTGCAATCTCAGCAAGAACTTATTGGCAAGATAGCAATCTAGGTGTCTGGAGGGCACAGTGTCACTAAGCTATATTGATGATAAACCAGAAAACACACACTTAGAATAGAGATTTTATGTTCCTAAACTTCCTGGAAGACATGTCTCTGGGAAGATTTTCTCTGAGCAAAGGGATGATCATAGAAGGGAACTACTGCAAAAGATAATGGGGGTACCAACAAGGGAAACACGGAAAGCAATGTGGTAAAGCCAAGTAAGTAAAAAAACAAGAGCAAAATTCTCTCATTTGCTATTTTAAGAATTCACCATGTGACATTAATCTGTGACAGCATATCTTAACAAGAAGGTAAGAAACTTTGACATTTAGAAGTGAAGCAGCACAGGAATCATATGTTCAGATTCTTAGAAGCAACAGCCACCATGGTGGCCTTAAAATTTATGGTGATTGTTCAATGTAAATATGTGAAAGTTGTGATCAAAATAAAGTCTTTTCCATTCAGTATATCCACGTGAATCCCTTTTGGAAACTGTTGAAAGAAGCTAATGAATATCAATGACATACAATATTATGTTCATTATCAAAAAACTATGCTATAGCATGCTGACTGTTCCTTTTGCAGACAAATTACGGGGTAGGACATGGAAGCTTTTCATGTAACAACAGAATTTTTAGATGGCAATTTTCATACTTCCATTGGACTCTAGAATGTAAATATCAGTTTTAACTATAGTCAGTGTGAATAAGCAGAGATGAAAACTGTTAGAAGTCTTCAAAGGGACATGAATTTCCTACAAGTGCTGTCTCTCTCTCATGACTGAGGTCAGCCTCAGATAACTGGGTTTGCAGAACAGTTCTGTCATGCTTGGTGTTCTGTACTTCAGCCAAAAGAGGGGTTCCTCTCACTATGAATCATATTTTCTGGTGTTCCATTTCAAACTGACAATAATTCTCATATCACAACCAGTGAATTACAAATGATTTGTTTTCAAAAAAATGAAACTATCTGTGACTCAAGGATTGAGCTTGTCAGTTTTATAAACAATTCTGTCCACTAATCCAGTCCACACTTTCAGAGTTTGCTGATGATGATATTGTGACAGTGTTGAAGGCCTTGCTGAAGTCATTGCATGAAACCTCACCTGTAGTACTGCATCTAGAGCTGGGACCCCCTTCTTGAGCCAGTCCAGAGGAAGCCATGATCAGAGATGATCAGAGACAGCTGGAGCACCTCTCCTGTGAGGACAGGCTGATGGAGCTGCATTGTTCTGTTCAGGGAAAGGGAGGTTCCAGAGTGATCTTATTGTGGCCTTCAAGTACATAAAGGGGCCTACAGGAAAGCTGAAAAGAGACTCTTTACAAGGGTTTGTCATGATAGCACAAGGGAAATGGTTTTAAGCTGAAAGAGGGCAGATTTACGATAGACACTAGGAAGAAACTGTGAGGGTGGTGAAGGCCCTGGAATAGGTTGCCCAGAGAAGTTCTGAATGCCCATCCCTGGAAGTGTTTGAGCAGGAACTCTGAGCAACCTAGTTGCTTCTAAAAATTAGGTGATTTTTAAAGTCTCTTCCAACCCAAACAATTTTATGATTCTATGAATTCAAATAGTAGAGAAAAAGAAACTGATTTATATTTTGCATTCCAGAGCATATTTAGATGGAGATCCCTCCATCTGATCCATGAAGTTCAGTAACCAGGTAGCAGTGCAGATGTCCTATGTTTTAGCTAGTTTCAGCTATCTCATTTTTGCAAAACAAGCTTACAATTTTTCTAACAAGAGTTTTGAATATAGGATTGATAATCATCAGCTTTAGTGGATTTGAACAGTTCTAGTAGAGTTGAACCAGTTCCCCATCATTACTGTGAACAGCACTTTAAAGTGACCTGTATATTGTTTTCTTAAGCAATATTAAGATCAATAATTTATCAATAATAAATTTCATAAATAGGACAGCTTTGAAAAACAGCCATTTTTACATCAGGTACTCTTCAGTTAATCATTAAAAGGCCTTATCTAGGTCATGATAACCAGACAGAGGGTTACCTCACTTATAGCCTTATTAGCCACAACACAAAATCATACTGTTTTGAGATACAGGGCACAAATTGCATTCAGACTGAAATTCATTCATACATCCTCTGACCCACAGTAAGTAAAGTATGCAGCTAACATCAGAGAGCCTGGAATCTGCTCCCCACATAGACTTCCACAGTCATTTACTCATCTTTGGGGCTGAATTAGCAGCTTTATCCCTTGCACATGCAGATACTGTGATCATTTGATATTAATAAATGGAAGCCATAATTGCTTGCATTCAGAAAAAAATTCTCAGTGTCATAACTGGTGCAGCATTTTCATGTGCTACAATTGAAGAAAAACCCAGCTGCTTAAATGGAGTAAATTAGTAAACCGGTTTTCCTTTTCCAAAAGTAGTTTCCAGTTCAGCCACATTAGTTTAGGGAAGAGGTTGTTATTAACAGGATACAACTGTGAAGGTTTGCTGAATGCTTTCTTCATCTTTATTTGCAGGGTTTTAATTAATGTTGCAAAAGTTTTCTAACTGAAAGTATTCAAATGAAATCTA